AGAAAGGAAAGAGAGCCACCTAGTGAAACAGCATTTCTCCACATTCCCTCAACAATATACTTCCATCTCCCTTCCAGCCAGAGACTCTCAGATCCTAAAATTGTATTTGAGAGGTTGAAGCCAAGGGCTTAGAGTCTAAAAGCTTCTCAGGGTCTGCAAGAATTGTTTGAAATCTGAGAAAAAGCCATTGGCTCTAAACTTCCTAACATTCCAAAACTGAAATTAGTAAATGATATTAAATATCTACAAAATGAGACGTCATGTCAACTAATCACAACAATGTAATTCTTACCTTGTTAGGTGCCGTGGAGTCGGTTCCGACTCACAGTGCCCTGTATAGGGTTTCCGAGGCTGTAGATCCTCACTGGAGAAGAAAATCTCATCTTTCTACTATGGAACGGGCACTCAAACTGTGGACCTTGTGGTTAGCAGTCCAGTGCTTATCCTACAGTGCCACCAGCCAATTCTTACCTAGACATATATATCATGTTTAATGTGGGATGTGGGCTCACTTAATATTTTATATGATGAAAGCATTAAAGGCATATTTCCCATAAGTTCCTCTCCCTAAGAGTCTTCCTAACCATTGGCATGGTGCACCTAAGCACTGGCATTACTCTCTTAAAGATATTGATAATACTTTATACATGCAAAATGTATACGTTGTTGTTGTTTGTTAAGCGCTGTTGAGATGATGCCAACTCATAGTGACCCTATATAGGGTTTCTGAAGAGTAGCTGGTGGGTTTGAACTGCCAATCTTGTGGGTCACAGGCCGGTGTTGATATTCAGAATCCCGGGTCTACACATTGGTGTTATTGTTGTTGAGTGCTGTTGCATCGATTCTGACTCACAGGGACCCTGTACAGGGTTTCCAAGAAACAACTGGGAGCCTGAACCACCAAATTTGCAGTTCAAAGCAACCTTGCAGTCCAGCACATTAACCTAAAGTGGCGGTGGTGGTTATGTACCATGGAGTCAGTTCCAACTCATAGCAACCCTGTACAGGGTTTCTGAGGTTGTAAGCCTTTAAGGGAGCAGAAAGCCTCATCTTTCTCCTGCGGCACGGCTGCTAATTTCAAACTGCTTACCTTAAGGTTCACAACCCGATTCGTAACCACTATGCTACCAGAGCTCCTTTTGGTGGTATGAGTCAGAACCGACTCCATGGCACATAACAACAATTGTATACCTGTGTTACTCTAAACCTAACCCTCCTTTTGAAAAACACTTGTTTTGTCCCCACTGGATCACTGAAAATGAAAACCTTTCCCCTTATACTGCTCTTTCTCAACCCCCAGGTGGTGTGCCATGGAGTCAGTTCTGACTCTTAGTGACCCTGTATAAGGTTTCCAAGGTTGTAAATTCTAATGGGAGTGGGAAGCCTCATCTTTCTCCCACGGAACAGCTCATAGTTTTGAACTGCTAACCTTGAGGTTAGCAGCCCAACTCGTCACCACTACACTACCAGAGCTCCTTCTTTTCTTAGTAGATCTCCCTTATATAAGCTGAAGACCAGAGAGAGGCTTGGCTTCAAGCATGACTGAGAAAATGTACTCCAGACCAAAGAAGTATATCCTGAAGATTTCTGATCCTGAGTTGTAACTTTCCCTAACAAACCCCATAATTGCATGGTCTGTGAGTTTTCTGTGGTAGTTGCACTGAGTGATTGAACCCAGAAGACGAGTACAGCGTGCCTGGTGGCAGGGATGACTGGTGTCAGAATTGGTACAGAAGGCTGGAGGGTGGAGGCATGTCTGACCTTGGCCTCATAGCAATCAGGCTTATGCTGATGGTAAGTTCGAGTCTCCTCCCTTCTTATGAAGGCAGAGGAAGTTCCACATGGCCCCCATACCCTCTTTACACTCCCCCAGGAAAATCTCTTTTAGTCAACTGACTTAAGACCTTAATTACATCTACAGAATTCCTTCATAACAGAGCCTAGACTGGTGTTTGATTGAATAACTGAGGGAAAGTGCATCTACATGGGGTCATGGGGAGGATTTTGAGGGTCATTGCAGAATTCTGCCCATAAGCAGTCCCCAAGCAATGAATCAGATTTGTTCAGAAGGGTTTCTTTAAGTCAAATATATATATAAGTTGAAACAGGTGAATACAATTTTATTTATGCTTACTGTAGTTTAAGGCTCAAAACTTTAAAATTATTTAGAAGGTACAGGTGCAGCAAGTGAAAGTGATTGTGATGAAGAACTTGTGAGTAGGTTGGTTCATGGAGTCCTGGTGTGATGCTGTAGGATAAGCACTGGACTGCTAACCACAAGGCTGGTGGGTCAAACCCACCAGCTGCTCCCCAGAAATCCTATACAGTGTTGCTATGAATCACAACTGGACGGCACTTAACAACTACAGGGTTGGTTCAATCAGAGTGAGGGTAAATTTAAAGGGCAAGTACGAGTTGTCTGATGTGGCGCTTTGGCCCGCAAGGTTAGTTTGAACCACAAGGTTGGCAGTTCGAGCTCACCAGCCACTCCTTGGAAACCCTATATAGGGTCAGAACTGACTCAACAGCACATAACAATAACAGAAAGTAGTCTATAAGCTGATATTTGTAACCCAGGGACTTACTGTACTAAATGAAATACTTTCTAAGTCTAATGGCAAAACTAAGAGACAATTATTGAGATAAAAAGCAGGTATTCTCCTAAGCATTTGTCTTAGACTATCTCATTTTAAATGATTATATAAAATCATATCATTTCTGTGAAAAATAAAATCAGTTCTGACTCATAGCAACTTTGTATGGGGTTTTCGATGATGGATAATAGGTTTGAACTGTTTACCTTGTTATTAGCAGTCCAGTGCTTATCCTACAGTGCCACATCAAGGCGCCTATATACTATTATATGAAGTTCTAATTTTATAAAAATGTTTCCTATATTTTTCTTACAAAATTGTATTAAGATTTTTTTTTTTATGATCTGTTTTTTAGAGCAATGTGTTTCCTTCATTCCATTCTAAGGACAGTTTCATTCACAAATCATTTTACGGAGCATCAATACCGTTGGTTCAGAGACACAAGGAGAGTAGTCAAAATTACTCTCCTCAGAGGTCTTGTAATCTAGCAGTGGATGTGTGCCATTGAGTTGGTTTGGACTCATAGCAACCCTGTATAGAGTTTCCAAGGCTGTAAATCTTTAAAGGAGCAAAAAGCCTCATCATTCTCCTGCAGAACAGCTGTGGTGATTCAAACTGTTGACCTTGCAGTTAGCAGCCCAACTCATAATCCACTATTCCACCAGGGCTCCTACTCTATGTGCCATAGAGTAGGTTCCAACTCACAGTAACCCGGAATAGCTTTCCAAGGAGCAACTGGTTTCCTCTGACCTTGCAGTTCAAACTAACCTTGCAGTCCAGTGCTTATTTTGCAGTGCCACACCAGGGCTCCCTTGCAGCCTAGTATGATGTTAAAAAAACAAAAAATAACTTTATTGTGAATTGAGTGAAGGTTTACAGAGCAGATCATCCGTTTTATATTTAGCAATTCATATGCATTTTGTTTCATCTCAGTGACTGCAATTCCCTTAGCGTAACATCAGTTATCCCAAAGGAAAGACATATTTTATTTGTGCTTGTCTCTATGCACATTTTTAAACAAAATGGAGTCCTGGCATGACTCTGAGGGTTAATATGCTGGACTGCAAAGTCAGTTTAAGCCTCAAGGTCAGTGGTTCAATCTCACCAACTGCTCCTTGGAAACCCTGTTTAGGGCCACTGTGGGTCGGAACCTACTTATCGGAACTTAACAACAACAACCCATAAAATGCCAATTACATTTATAAAAACATTTCTATGAGAGCTGAGGCATTCAGAATTACAACAATGATTTCAAGAAAGGGGAAACCTCTCTGAATATTTGCTTATGCATTCTTGGTCTGCCTCAACCCTAAATGTGCAGCAACACAGTTTTGTCTGTGGCTTTAGACCAAATTCACTGTGACTAAAGAAAAAACACCTGAGATTTGAAGGCGGTAAGAAGTTATATGAGCTCCTGCAGTGGCACTATAGGGTCAGCACTGGATTTCGAACCACAAGGTCAGCAGTTCAAACTCACCAGCAGCTCCCTGGAAACTCTACAGGACTTGAAAGTACTTAACACGTAATGATAACATAAAAATATTGGGCCTACGCAGACAAGGTTTTCAATGGCTCCATAGATATTTTGTTACCTCCTAAACTGTGATGACGTCATTGGTGTGGCGCTGTGGGTTAATGCACCAGACTGCAAAGCCATTTGAACTGCAAGGTCCGGCGGTTCAAGCTCACAAGCTGCTCCTCAGAAACCCTATACAGGGTCGCTATGGGTCAGAACCGACTCGATGGCACCTAACAACAACAAACTGTGATGGAGTCCTGGTGTAGCGCTGTAGGATAAGCACTGGACTGCTAATCTCAAGGTGGGAGGTTCAAACCCACCAGCCGCACCTAGGAAACCCTACACAGGATCCCAACGTGTTGGAGCTGACTTTACAGCAGTTAACAACAATAACAACCAGTAGATAAGGTTCCAGAAGTTCCATTTGCTCTGTTGATAAGAATATGTGTTTCAAGGAAGGAAGAACTTCCGTGGTAACTACACTGAGACATCTCCTTCTCAAGGTAAAGGCAGCATTAGCAAGCATCGAAGGAAATCTCCAAATCTGCAGGTGGGCGCCCTAGGAAGCCTAAAGGAGGCGCCGATTGCACCCTGGAGTGGAGGCCCTCTTTCTTACACAATCCACCAATGCCTCTTCTTCACAAGCGCGCGTCCAAGTATTAAGCTCTGCATCCCTTCTCCCTTCCTGCTCCCCCCACCTGGGTAATTATTGGATTCACACCACCCGCGGTAGCTTGGATCCAGGCGCAGGTGGAGGGTCTTGGGACCCCGCCCCACCGCGTGCTGAGCCCTAGGCTGATAAATGGCTTCTGCATCCTGCACACCAAATCAGGCTGTAAGGCTGCTCGATCCTCTTGCTCGCTTGTTGTCCTTCCCCCAACTCCGGCATGGAGGAGACGTACCTGGACCTCTACCTGGACCAGTGTGCTGCCCAGGTGAGCCTGGAAGCCGCTGCCACTATCCCAGAGTCAAGGCCAGCCTCCTACCTTGTCTGCCCTTTTGTCTGAGCACCAAGAACTTCTGTGCTAAAGGGTTTTCCTACGTTATCTTGTTTCAAACGATTTAGTAGCCTAAGACGTGAATTTAACTATCTCCATGTTTCAACTAGAAACTTCGGGAGGTGAAATCTGTTGCTGCCCATCAGAACTCGAACCTGGTCTAGTGGGAATTCAGAGGCGTTCATGGGCTTAAACTTTCCTGGTCCAGTTCGACAGACACACGCAGGGACAGTTTAGAAGATCTGTGTAGCATGGACCGTGCGCTTTCATGGCATTGTCAATCGGCCGCCAGCAATAAAGCTGTGGGCATAGCGGTGGGGTTAGACATGCCCGGAATTTAACCAAAATGTAAATTGGGAACACCTGGAGCTTTCTCCAGCCCCAGCCCCAGCCCCAGCCCCAGCCCCACCCCCCTGGTGGCGTTAGGGTATGCGCTGCTAACCACAAGGTCAGCAATTTGAATCCACCTGCCTCTCCTGGGAGAAATGAGGCTTGTTGCTCTGATCGATTTGCTGTTGTCATTAAGTGCTATCCAGTGGGGCCCACTCCTAGCAATCTAGTATAAGGTTTTCGAGGAGTGGTTTGAACTGCCCACTTTGCAGCAGCCTGGGAAATGCTACAGAGGATAGCGATGAGTCTGAATCCACTCCATGGCTTTTTCCAAGGAGAACTGAGGTGCAATGGGTTAATCGCTGCAGTGCTAACCGCAAGGTCGGCAGTTCAAACCCACATACCTGTTGCTCCTTGGGAGAGCTCGAACCTGGTAAGGCTCTCAGCTCTCGTAAAGATTTACAGTTTGGGAAACCTTCCTTAGGAAGCAGTTTGACGCTGCTGTGAGTCAAAATTGATCCAATGGCAGTGGACTTGGTTTTGATTTGATACCTTCTTTCAGTTAATGAATCTTCAGAATTTATTTTATTTTACATACAATTTTTTTTTTTAGAATCAAATATTGTAGAAAAGAGAGGCCAGAGTCTTCAAAAACGACACAAGAAAACAACTGGGTGGTGGTGGTGTTTTTTTTTTTTTCTTTTTCTTTTTCCTGTGCAATTTTTTTAAAAAGACAGCACTGAGGTAGAAATAGTGATGTTCCACACCGGAAGGGTTCTGGGAAGGATAGGTTGATGGTTCTATAAAAATTACTTAACAATTTCTTCAGATATTAGATCAAGGACACAATGAATGTATATATTTTAAAATAAAGTACATGTTATATGTACATCCTTTGAAGTGTGCATTACCTGAGATGTTTCTACAGGTAAACTTGGACTGGGACAAGGTTCCTTTTGTCATGAAATGTTTCCCTTCAGCATTTTGCTGCCATTGCCTTAAGTTCCCTGTGGAAGTTTCATTTCTTTGGGAGATGACTTTGATGCCTGCTAAAATAGTTGTGGATATTGGTATTTAGTGTAAATCAGCCAGTGAGATCCTTTTCAGGTAAGACAGGACGGCCTAAGGGAACATTGGAAAGGTTGCAGGAACCTTGTCCACCACTTGAGTTTCTTTTAGGCTATGTAAGTTTGCTGTGGGGTGGGGATGGGTGCTAATTACGTAACTCAAAATGAAATGAAAGTCAAAAATTATTTCAAGAGAATTTCTATTTCTTAAGTGTTTTATTTGAATAATTAGTCACCCCTGCCATCTGCTGGACTTAAATTTCAATAATGCAACAAAGCAACAGGATCTAGCCAGACATATTTCTGTGAGTTGATGTAGGTGTGTTCCTGAGACAGGACAACAAAGTACTCAAGACTTCTCCTGGTGTGGCGCTGTGGGCTAATGCATCAGACTGCAAAGTCATTTGAACTGCAAGGTCGGTGGGTCAAGCCGTCGAGTCACTTCCGACTCATAGCGACCCTGTACAGGGTTTCCAAGGCTGTAAATCTTTACGGGAGCAGAAAGCCTCATCTTTCTCCCGTGGAGCGGCTGGTAGTTTCGAACTGCTGACCCTGAGGTTCGCAGCCCGATTCATAACCACTACGGTACCAGAGTTCCTTCAATGTCACTTAGTAACAACAAAAGAATGGGATGTAACCTATAAGCAGTGCTCAAAATCTAGTCAATAGGCCTGAAATGTGAACAAAGCAGGTGGTAAAATATGTACCAAGGCAATAGATTTTGTTGGTAATAAAGTGAATCCATGTTGTTGTTGTTATTAAGTGTCGATGAGTTGGAACATCAACCCTGTATAGGGTTTCTGAGGAGCAGCTGGTGAGTTTGAACTGTTGACTTTACAGTTCAAATTGACCTTCCAGTCTAGGGCTTTATCCTACAGCGCCACACCAGGACTCCAATTTAGAACATGAATTTTACATTAGCTGCTTCACCCACTTGTCTTCCCTGTTGTTTCCTCAATTAATGAGTAATGGCAGTTGCGTAGCCTTCCCTAGGCAGGAAATACAATACATTGATTTTAAACTGTTCTTAGTTGTTTAAATTTCAATACTTTTTTCCCTGTTGTAAATCTTAGACTGTTTTCGTGTACTATAAGAAATAGTGTTCAGTCTTTTGTAGAGTTTGGTAAGCAGCTTAAATTTTCTTCACTTATTGAATTAAAAAAATTTTAATTCTAAAAGATCTTTAAAACAGTGAAAGTTTAAAATTAAGTAATACAGTAAATTCCTTCTCTTCAAAGCACACAAAACTTAGTGCTTGGTTGTTCAATTGCTTCCATTACACACTGGATTTGGAGAGTGCCAACTGTCTCAGGCTCAAACTAAAGTAGAAAAACAAATCAGAAGAGGTGGTTTTTCTGCATTTGAAGATACACTTTCCTGCTGTTGCTAAGTATCTATAAGTATACTGTAAGCCTGTCGTGGTACTTTGTGGAAAGAGCCAAGGTATGAATATCAACTACCTGTCCTAATGGTGTCCCTTTTGTTTAACATACTGCTCTGTTTGTTGTGTTTTGTCTGTTTTGGGAACTTCCTAGGATGATCTTGCCCCACCCAGAACATCTCCCCTATTCAGCCCTGTGGCATCTTATGATGTGTACATAACTAAGCCATCCAATCCAGAGATGACTCTTAGTTCAAATCTTGAAGGTAAAGAAATATCTGGTGATTTCTCATCGGTGGACCTTAGCTTCCTACCAGATGAACTTACTCAAGAAAATAAAGATGAGGCTGGCATTGGAAGCAAGGAGGAAACTGAAAAAAATAAAACTCAAAGTAGGTTGCAATTACCTAATGAACAGGACACTGGCCTGGGTTTAAATGGCAACAGTTTGTCAAGTTCCCCATCACACCTGCACCCTGATAATGCTGACTCACCCCAGCTCTCACTGGAGAAACCAACCTCTGATGCTTTGACTCTGCCATCCATAACGCCCATGAAACCAGTGACCCCTGTTTCAGAATGCTCTGGAATTGTGCCTCAGCTTCAGTAAGTTGGTTTTGTTTTTGTTAACTATCTTTTCAATGAGCAATAATTTCTGGTACACATTTTGTATTCCTGAATGTGATGACAAATAGTTTCAGAATTATAATGTAAAAGAGAGAATCTCAGATATCACTCTTCTGGGTTTTTTTAAAAAATCAATTAATAATGGTTTGTGACTTTCTCATTTGGTGTCTGTAAAATGAAGTGCTAAATCTTGCCTCTCTGAAAGAAAGGTTAAGGGGTTAGTACAGTATGCATGTTCTTGAAGGATTTCATTCTAAAGTACTGAAGTTGCTGAAAGTTGTTAGGGTTGTAGAAACATAGGGTATAAAGCTACTGTTGAATTCAGTTTGCAAACTGATGTGCATTCTATTTTGAAGCACAGTTTTGGAAAAGATTTAAAATTTTAGTCACCAAGTCATAAAATTTTAGGAAAAGCTATTTGAATGATTTACTTTGGGCTTCCAGATTTTATTAGGAAGTATATTACTATGCAGTTCATATTGGAATAATTCTCCCCCTCAGGAAATCACTAAATGTGTGCCTTATCCAATGAAGAAGTTAATACGTTTTAATTGAAGACAATAACTTTTTGTTTCCCCTAACACCTGATAAATTTTTCTTTCTTTTTTCAGGAATATAGTTTCTACTGTCAACCTGGCCTGTAAATTAGATCTGAAGAAAATAGCTTTGCAGGCAAAAAATGCAGAATATAACCCAAAGGTAAGATTCTTGTTGTTCCTTTCAACAATTAGCTTCTCCTTAAATTTACTTCTTCCATAGGATCATGATAATTGACTCATTTCTTGGTTTTTTCGAGCAAAGTGAAAAGTTTCTGGCAACTTGAATTATTTTAAAGATTAATTATCGGATCTTCTGTTTGGAAATTATGAAAATCAATCTCATTCTATGTTAGAGTATTCATGGCGGTGGTGGTGTTGTGCCTTGGAGTCGGTTCCGACTCATAGTGACCATGTACAGGGTTTCCAAGACTAAATCTTTATAGGAGCAGAAAGCCTCATCTTTCTCCCAGGGAACTGCTGGTAGTTTCGAACTGCTGACTTTGAGGTTCGCAGCCTGATTCATAACCACTATGCTACTAGAGCTCCTTAGAGCATCCATAGCCCTTCCTAAAAGTTAAGCTCTCCCTCATTATTCAAAGACATTTTTCAGCAAGGGAGGGCAGTTCAAACCCACCAGCGGCTCTATGGGAGAAAGATGAAGCCGTTTGCGCCTGTGAAGTTCTACAGTCTGAGAAACACGATACAGGGTCACTGTGAGTCCGAATTAACTCCGTGTCACTGAGATTGGAACACCAATGTTTTCAAAATGCCATCACGTTCTTGTAAATGTATTTTTCTAAACGTTGTAGTACCTAGATGGTACTGTATCTTTCTATTTACACCTTCTCCTCTTTGAGAAGATAAATCAGCTCTGGTAGCGTAGTGGTTACAAATCGGGCTCCGAACCGCAAGGTCAGCAGTTCGAAATTACCACCTGTTTCCGCGGGAGAAAGATGAGGCTTTCTGCTCCCGTAAAGATATACAGCCTCGGAAACCCTGGACAGGGTCGCTATGAGTCGGAACCGACTCCACAGCACATAACAACAACAACATACTTAAGAGGGAGGAGCCCTGGTGTGGCGCTGTGGGTTACTGTGCTGACCTGCAACGTCGCTTTGAATCTCAAAGTCAGTGGATCAAGCTCACCAGCTGATTCTCGGAAACCCTATACAGGGTCAGTATGGGTCCAAATGGACTTAACGGCACTTAAAACAACAACACATGTAAGAAGGGAGCCCTGGTGTGGTACTGTGTGAGAATCTGTGTAGGATAATTGGTGTTTCAAACCCACTAGCCGCCTCTCAGAAGCCCTATGGTGGTGGGTACTACATGCTGTGGGGTCGAGTCAGAATCATCGTGACTCTGTACAGGGCTTCCAAGGCTGTAAACCTTTACCAGAGCTTTTCTCCTGTGAAGCAACTGGCAGATTCAAACAGCTGACCTTGTGATTAGCAGCCCAACTTGTAACCACTACACTACCTTTGTGAAACCCTATATAATGTGGCTGTGAACCAGAATCAACTTGATGGCACTTAACAGCAATATACTTAGGTAGCCTAGTGGGTTAGACACTAGGTCACTAACTGCAAAGTTAGTAGTTCAAACCCACCAGATGCTCTGTGGAAGAAAGATGAGGCTTTCTGTCCTTGTGAAGATGTGCAGGCTTGGGAACCTTAATATAGGGTCGCCATTTTGGTTTTGGTTAGGCTCTTAGGAGTTGACTAGCTGGCAACTGAAGTCTCGTTGTTTATATATTTAGAAATACAGAAATACCTGCTGTACAGGGGGGAAAGTTCACTATCTTGGGCGATGCAGAATCGATGGCCATAGATGAAGAAGGACACTTCAGTAGGAGCTCAGAGGACATTGGGGGGTAGTAGTGGTACAACTGGTTAGGCATTCAGTTACTAACAGAAAAGTTGGTGGTTTGAACCCACCCAGTGGCTAAGCAGGACAAAGACCTGGTGATCTGCTTCCTTAAAGATCACACCCTTGAAAACCCTATGAGGACAAGCTGAATGTGGGACCTTTTCCAGAGAAGCCGCAATACCAGAGATGGAGGCAGAGATGGGGACATGGAGAGAGGGAGCAGCTGAGGACTCCAGATTCATGGGAAGAGAAGGACTAAGAGCTGGCGGCCAGGAGGCAGATTTGCAGAATGTACCCTTTGGGGATGTAAATTGTGATATATTCCTGAGTGTTTAAACAAACAAACAAAAAACCAAAGTGAATAGAGAGAAACACTGTTAACTGATGGTACATGGAATGGATTATAATCATTGTAATGAAACAAGGTGTAGGATTTGTTGAACGTGAAACTGATGATCTGCCCTGGAAACTTTTACTCAACCCACAATGAAAAGTAAAAAACAAAACAAAACAAAAAAACAACCTATAGGGAAGTTCTAGACTGACACATGGTGTGACTACAAGTCAAAATTGACTCTCAACAACTTTAACAACAGCTTGATTTGGCTATTATGATGGTGGTGTTGCTGACACCTAAATTTAAATGTTACCTGATTGTTACCCAAATAAGGTTTGGCATTTTGATATATCATGTACATGCCTGGCTATGGTGAAGATAGAAACCCAAGTTCTAGGTCCAGCAAGCTGAATGATGAGCTAGGATTCTTAGTTGAAGAAATGACTAACCACCATTCTGAACAATGAACATTTTAAGCATATTTTCCACCATCCTCAGTCCCCTTCTAGTTTAATTTGAACGTATAGGATCTGTCCAAACTTGTGCTTAGTGGCTAAAGACATTGTTGTTGTGCACTTAACACCACCTTACAAATTTAACAAAGTTCATACCAGGTGAGAACATTTCTTTTAGTAAACACCTGGAAAACATTAATAGACTTTGATCAACCATGCAGTGCTGACTCAGAATTTTTTTTACTCCTTGGTAACACTTCATATCTGAAATGGTCAGTCCTGCTTTGAAGTGATCTGTGGTCCAGTGAATGATCTCCAACCCATGAACCTATAATTCCACATACTTGTATTTACGGTTAAGTACCATGGATTTAAGGAGCTCTGGTAGCGTAGTGGTTATGAGTCAGGCTGCGAACCGCAAGGTCAGCAGTTCGAAACTACCAGAGGCTCCATGGGAGAAAGATGAGGATTTCTGCTCCCGTAAAGATTTACAGCCTCGGAAACCCTGTTCAGGGTCGCTATGGGTCAGAACCGACTCAACAGCACTTAACAATAACAATAAAACCATGGAGTTGGTTCTGACTCATAATGACTCTGTATCATGCTTCTGAGGAGCAGCTGGTGAGTTTGAACCGCCAACCTTGCTGTTCAAACCAACTCTACAGTTCAGTGCTTATCCTACCATACCACACCACCCTATAATCCTTGATATCAATCTCCACTCCTCCCATCCCTCAAGTTCAAGGGTTTACAACAGGCTACAGTGTCTTCCAAGAAGCTTTGGTAGCATAGTGGTTACCAATAGGGCTGCTAATCTTATGGTCAGCAGTTCGAAACTACCAGCTGTTCCGCAGGAGAAAGATGAGGCTTTCTGCTCCCATAAAGATTTACAGCCTCAGAAACCCTGTAGAGGGTCGCTATGAGTCGGAATCGACTCCACAGCACATAACAACAAAACAACAACGTCTCCCAAAACTCACAACTGTCCAAGGAAATGGCTCCTGCAGTTGTGGAGGCTGGCAATCAGTCTGGAGGAGTCTTTCACCCACAGCCTCAGGAACTGAAGGATTCAAATGGACAGGTCATATGACAGGCTGTTGACGCAAGAGGCTTTGGGAGCTGCTGAATCAGGTCAGGTGATGGGCCAGAGAGCTAGCTTTCCAAAGCAGTGTTAAAAACTGAAGTCAGACCATGCTCCCAAGGGAAACTAAGGTAACTTGAATCACACCTTCTAGAAGCGTGGGGGCATCCTTAGTCCTTAATTCCACTGCAATCTTTACTCCTTGTTAAGTGCCATGGAGTTGGTTTTACTCCTAGGGACCCTGCATAGGATCCAAGGAGTGGCTAGTGGGTTTGTACCACCAACTTGCGGTTAGCAGTCCAGTGCTTATCCTACAACTGCCATACCAGGATTCCAAATCACAGGCATAGAAACGAGAAACTGCAATACATCACGAAATAGAGAAATGTAGAAGGGCCATAATAGATTAGCTTTCCTGCAATCATTTGTCCTCAGCATGCCTGTTACTTTATTCTGTCCTACATTTTTATTGCTTTTTCAGTACACTCTACAATCTTGGAAAGTCTATAACATGTATGTTACTTTTACCCAAACCCAAACTCACTGCCCTAGGGTTGCTTCTAACTCACAACATCCTATATAATGTTTCCAAGTTGCAAATCTTGACAGGGACAGACAGCCTCACCTTCTACTGTGGAGCAGCTGGTGGGTTTGAACCACCTCTTGGTTGGCAGCTCAGCACTCACCCCACAGTGCCACCAGGACTCCTTTTACAGTATTTATTTATTTTTGATTCTTGGGAAGAAAAGACATTTTGAAGTAAAAAGCACAGATTCTGGTTATTTGTGGTTTTAAATGTTAACTTGACTGTTTCCTGTGTACTCTTAGAAGTTAAATACCTTTTCTGATTTGGTTTCCTTGTGGAGTAATACTGGATTAATTGGAAATGATACAATTTCAACTGTCCTGTTTTAAGGATAAATGAACTAAAACCTGTTACACTCTCAGCATAAGGTTGGAAACATTAAAGAAATTTACGTGTATTCTGACCTGTTTTCTCAGCTAACACTGAGAATCATAATTGGTTTTGTCGGGAATAGCAGAGATGTTATTTACTATTCCTACTCAGTCTCACTTTATTGAAGACTATTTTCATATCCAACTCAGCTTTTGGAATAACTAAAGCAAACCCACTCTATTTCAGCTCATGGCGACCTTGTAACAGAGTTTCTAAGGCTGTAAATCTTTACAGAAGCAGAAAGCCTCATTGTTCCCCTGCAGAGTTGCTGGTGGGTTTGAATTTCTGACCTTGCAGTTAAACAGTTCAGTATTTGCCCTACAGCACCACTAGGGCTCCTTTTAATTAGAATTGTTGTTGTTCAGTGCTGTGGAGTCAGTTCCAACTCATAGCAACTCTGTCTAAGTTTTCTGATGAGCTGCTGGTGGGTTTGAACCGCTGACTTTGTGGTTTGCAGTTAAGTGCTTATCCTGTAGTGCCATACCAAGACTAGAACAGCAGAGGCTAACTCTTCCTTTGGTTTTTATGTATAGAGGTTTGCTGCTGTTATCATGAGGATCCGAGAGCCCAGGACAACAGCCCTCATATTCAGCTCGGGGAAAATGGTTTGCACAGGAGCCAAAAGGTATGAGGAACCAGCCTTCATTCCTACCCAGAAGATAATTCAGTGTGTAAGCAAGGAAGGCGATAGCATTCATGTTCTGAAAAACATACTAGGAACAAAATATACTGTTCTTTCCTGAAGAGTTAATTTCATGGTATAGCAAAATGTAGTTTACAAACACCCAGCCTCTTAGACAGCCCCCCTGTTAAACTAAGTTATTTTCTGCTTTGAATTTTTTTGTTGTTGTTGTTGATACCATATGTTTTCAGTAATGGGAGGCATGCTTAAATCAAGAGAAAAAAATGAGGTAATAAAGATTTTAATGCTGTTATATGGGAGTCATGTGTCCTGAGTGGACTCTGATGGTAGGAATGGATGGGGTGAAGTGCGTTTCTTTAGATGCACGCAGTTTTTACATGTCTCCACCAGGTGGCAGCACATATTACAACTGGGATAGGAGTGTCCCAAAAAACTTAAGAGGCTGAAAATGCTGGAAGGCAATCTGTGTCCTAAATGTTGTTGTTAAGTGCCGTCAAGTTGGTTCCTACCCATAGCAAGCCTGTACAGGATTTCCAAAGCTGTAAATCTTTACGGGAGAAGAAAGCCTCATCTTTTTCGCGCGGAACTGCTGGTAGTTTCGAACTACTGAACGTGAGGTTAGCAGCCCAACTCGTAACCAGTGCACTAAATACAACCCATAAAAGGTCATGTACAAGTTTTTGAGTTGAATTGAAAATACACACACACAGAGTAAGATAAAAAGCCTAGAGAAGTAGTTACGCCTTTTCCTCATTCCAGGTGAATGGATAGAACTTTCTAAGGAGGCACATTAGACATCTCCTGACCATTAGCTGGAGCATTAGCACAGAGCACATCTTTTAAAAGGTTTTTCTTGGATCTCATGCAGAGGAATCCCTGTGCTGATGGACATTCTTACCACAAGCAGTAATGGGAGAGCTACTCTTTCCTGTGTTAAAAGATGAATAGCTAGCAAATTGGTCTCCTGAAAGGTTGTGCCAGTTTATTCTCCTTTTACAAAAGTATTGAGTGTTCATTCCCTTATGGACACCGGGCATGAATATTCTCTTCTATATGTGGTAAACTATCCACACAAAAAAGTGTACTTAACACTTAACTTGATTTTATTTTTATAGTGAGGTTGAATACTTTCTATCAGTATATCAACTGCCTATGTCTTCTGACCAGTTTCTATTTGTCTTTTACTAATAGCATTTTCAATTTCAGTATTCATGCCATTTTTATACTATAAATATTTCCCCAAATCATGTTTGTGGTGGCTTATGATTTTTCTTTTACATACAGTTTTTTATATAGTCAAATCTATCATTTTTTTCTTGTACATTTGGTATAATACACATTATAGAATGACTGACTCTCCTCTATATTTCTGAGCCTTGTTAAATCCATTCTTATATTTGAGAAAGGATACTTCATATTTCAATTCATCTATAAAAGGGTCATTATGAGTCAGAACTGACTCAGTGTCACTTAATAGCAACATAGTTTTCTCTAGATAATAAAGTACAAAAGGATTAAAAATTTGTGGACATATGGAATCAAAAGACAACGGAATGTTTCCACAAACTTTTTGAAGGCCTCTCAGATTTATCACCGCTGTCTAATGTGGAAGTCAGTAGTCACGTGGTAACTATTAAGCACTTACTATGCACTTAATTGCCACCACTTGTCGGTCATACTGTGGTGGCTTGTGATTCTGAAAGCTATGCCACCAGTATTTTAAATATGGCAGATTTCAGATGAGCTTCCAGACAAAGACAGACTAGGAAGAAAGAGTGACGAACTACTTCTGAATCTTTAGTCACTGGAAACCTTATGAATAACAGAGAAACACTGTCAGATATAGTGCCAGAAAATGAGCCCCTCAGGTTGGAAGGCACTCAAAATGCGACTGGGAAAAAGCTGCCTCCTCAAAGTAAGAGTTGACCATGATGACGCAAATGGAGTAAAGCCCATGGGAGAAAAGCCTATGGGACCTTCATTTGCTGATGGGGCACAACTCAAAATGAAGACAAAAAGCTGTAAACATCCACTGAAAATCGGAACATGGAATGTATGAAATATGAATCTGAGAAAATTGGAAGTTGTCAAAAATGAAATGGAACAAGCAGACCAGCCTGGAGTGGCTAGAAGAACAGAAGATGCTTCTTGAAAGAAAGACCTACAGGAAAAATATAAAACAACATAGGCAGACTGACTGTTACTACAAGAACAAGCAACATGCTTGCCCAGGAAACATCAAGGCAAGTGGTCGGGTCCCCTCAGTGCAAATCCCCTTCCAAGACTAAGACTCAGTGGGAATACATGCTGTGATTGGTGACCACGCTCGACACCAATAAGGGGAAGTGAGGGAAAAACAGCAAAAAATAAAAAATAAAATAAAATAAAAATGAAAGAATGAAATGGAGCACATAAACATCGATATCTTAGGCATTAGTGAGCTGAAATGGACAGGTATTGGCCATTTTGAATCTGACAACCACATGGTTTACTATGCTTGAAAGGACGAAGAGGAATGGTGTTGCATTCATTGTCAAAAAGAACATATCCAGATCAATCATGAGGTACAATGCTGTCTGTGATAGGATAAATATACATGCGCCTACAGGGAAGCCCAGTTAATACCACTATTATTCAAATTTACACACCATCCACTAAAGCCAGTGAAGATGAAATTGAAGAATTCTATCAACTTCTTCAATCTGAAATCGATCAAATATGCAATCAAGATGTATTGTTCATTACTGGAGATTGGAATGCAAAGGTTGGGAACAAAGAGGAAAGATCAGTAGTTGGAAAACATGGCCTTGGTGATAGAAATGATGCTAAAGATTGCATGATAGAATTCTGCAAAATCAAGCATTTGTTCATTTCAGATACTTTCTTTACGTAGCATAAGACCTCACCTGATGGAATACATAGAAATCAAATTGACTACATCTGCAGAAAGAGACAATGGAAAAGCTCCATATCATCAGTGAAAACAAGGCCAGGGGCAGACTGGAACAGAGACCATCAATTACTCATATGCAAATTCAAACTTAAGCTGAAAAAAATGAAAACAAGTTCACAAGAGCCAAAATATGACCTTGAATATGTCCCGCCTGAATTTGCAGATCATCTGAAGAACAGATTTGCTACATTAAACACTAAAGACTGGAGACCAGAGGAGTTGTGGAATGACATCAAGAACATCATACATGAAAAAAGCAAAAAATCATTGAGAAGATAAGAAAGAAGGAAAAGGTCAAAATGGATGTCAGAAGAGACACTGAAACTTGCTCTCCAATGTAGAGATGTTAAAGCAAATGGAAGAAATGAGGTTCAAGAGCTGAACAGAAAATTTCAAATATTTGAGAAGCTAAAGCCAAATATTACAACAAAACGTGCAAAGATCTGGAATCAGAAAACCAAAAAGGAAGAACACACTCAGTATATCTCAAGCTGGAGGAACTGAAGAAAAAAATTCAAGCCTAAACTTTCATTATTGAAAGATTCTGTGGGCATCAAGAGAAGATGGGAAGACACAGAGTCATTGTACCAAAAGGAAATGGTTGATGTTCAACCATTTCAAGAGGTAGCATAAGATCAAGAGCCAATGATACTGAAGGAGGCAGTCCAAGGTGTATTGAAGGAATTAGCAAAGAACAAGGCACCAGGAATTGATTGAATAAAAATTGAAAACTTTCAAGAAAGTGAGGCAGCACTGGAGACACTCACTTTCTCTGCCAAGAAATTTGAAAGACAGCTATCTGGCCAACTGATTGAAAGAGATCCATATTTGTACCCATTCCAAAGAGAGGTAACCCAACGTTATGCGGAAATCATCAGACAATCTCTTTGATATCCCATGTGAGTATAGTTTTACTAAAGGTAATACAGAAACGGCTACAATCATACATTGACATAGAACTTCCAGAGGTTCAAACCATATTCAGAAGAGGCCTTGGCACAAGGGCTATCATTGCTGATGTCCGATGGATCTTGGATGAAAGCAGAGAATATCAGAAAGATGTTTACCTGTGCTTTATTGACTATGCAAAGGCGTTTGTGTGGATCATGACAAGCTATGGACAACATTGTGAAACATGAGTATTCCTGAACACTTACTTGTGCTCATGAGGAATCTGTACCTGGACCAAGAGGCAGTTGTTTGAACAGAACATGGGAACACTGAATGGTTTAAAATTAAGAAAGGTGTACAACAAGGTTATATTCCTTCACCAAACTTATTCAACCTGTATGCTGAGCAAATAATCCGACAAGCTGGGTTATATGAAGAAAACCGTGGCATCAGGATTGGTGGAAGACTCATTAACAAACTGTGATATGCAGATGATACAACCTTGCTTGCTGAAAGTGAGGAGGACTTAAAACATTTACTGATGAATTTCAAAGAGTACAGCCTTCAGTATGGATTACATCTCAATGTAAAGAAAACAAAAATCCTCACCATTGGACCAATAAGCAACATTCTTATCAACGGTGAAAAGATTGAAGTTGTCAAGGACTTCATTGTTCTTTGATCAACTATCAACACTCATGGAAGCAGCAGTCAAGAAATCAAACGACGGATTGCATCAGGCAACTCTGCTGCACACGACATTTTAAAAGTGTTAAAAAGCAAAGATGTCAGCTTGATGACTAAGCCATGACCCAAGCCATAATATTTTCAATAACCTCATATGCATGTGAAAGCTGGATAGTGAATAAGGAAGTTTGTAAAAGAATTGATGCATTTGAGTTGTGGTGTTGGAGAAGAATATTGAAAGTACCATGGGCTGCCAAAAGAACCAACAGATCTGAGTTGGAGGAAGTGCAGCCAGAGTGCTCCTTGGAGGCCTGGATGGCCAAACTTCATCTCTCATACTTCAGACATATTGTCTGGAGGGACCAGTCACTGAAGAAGAATACCATGTTTGGTAAGGTGGAGGATAAGAGAAAAAGAGGAAGACCCCCAGTGAGATGGATTTACAAAGTGGCAGCATCTATGGGCTCAAGTGTGGCAACAATTGTGAGGCTGGCCTAGGACCGGGCAGTGTTTCATTCTGTTCTGCATAAGTTTGCTATGAGTCGGTACAGACTCGATGGCACCACATGTACATAGTACAACTGAATTTTAAATTTAAATGAATGACAGTACAGGTCTAGAATTTTATTTCAATGCAAGGTGTAAAAAATGTATTTTATTCTCTCAAATGGTGTCTGTACCCCAGTGCATCTGTTGAATTCATTTTTATCCCATTTTTTTCTGCATGTCTTAAAATAACACAGATACATGTAAACAGCTTATTACATTCTGGGACTTTCTTCTCTGTTGGTTTGTGTGTTCTTTGTCCCAGAAATCTCCATTTCTGGAAGATTCTTGGACAGCTGTATAAAAAAATGTCTGTAAAGAGATTCATTTTGACATTTAATTTTTTCCTGTTGTAAACACAATGGGAATTTGATGGTCATATGATGAAATTGTATGGCTACAATAGAATACACACACATGTATACTGAGGTGAAAGATAGTCACATCCATAAAGGTGGGGCAGAGGGGGAAGGGGAAGATATAGGCAGGCAACTAAATTGTATGTTTATTACCCAACTCTGTAAGATATGAGCATTTTAAAATATGCTCATATCTTACACACACACTTACATGTATAAGTATATTCCCTATCTGAATTTGTTCTCTAACATCTGATCATGAAAGCTTGGATAATAAGTTTAGGTATCAGTGGCTAGCTTTTACCCAACTCTGTTTGCTCACTGGACTGCAAACCACAAGGTAAGCAGTTCAAACCCACCAGCAGCTTCCTGAAAACCCTGTACGGGGTCTCTGAGTCAGAACCTACTCAACGACACTTAACAACAATTTGCTTTTTGAGTTTTATATAGTGAGTTTTGAGAGTTTGGTAGTAAAAGAGATAAGAGTTCTATCTCCAAAACTTTATCTAAACTATTGTTTTTAGATTATTAAGAGTTTGCATAAAGAGGGATACCTGTATTTCTTAATCTATTTCTTATGTTTATATAATGAACATATATGTAAATTTTAAACTATTAGTGATTACAATAGGAACTTGGTTGTTATGTTGTTGTTGTTACTAAGTACCATTGAGTCCAACTCATATTGATCCTGTGTAGGGTTTCTGAGGAGTGGCTGGTGAACCAGAGTTACCGACCTTGCAGTTCAAACTGACCTTGCAGTCCAGCACATTAACCCACAGCACCACACCAGGACTTGTGTGTTACAGTCACAGTAAATATCCCAGAAACTTAAAGCTGAATGAAACTCTTGGGATTTTTAGCACAAACTTGAGCACTATGGGAAATGCAATGGATCAATTAGGCAACGTATTTTTCAGAATGGGAAGAATTTATTTCACTGTTTTAACTTGGGGACCTAGCCTTGCTGGGGACTTTTCAGGAGTCAGAAATGTGTGAGGACAATCAGCCTTCAATAACGGTAAGAATGTGAAGTTACGGGTGCACTGCCTGGCCCATGCAGATGGCCAATAAGTGGGGTTTGCTCTGTTAATATACCTGAGAGGACGGTGTTTGAAGATTCTAGATAGGAAAGAGAACCCAGTATTTCCTTTAATCTAGTCAAATAGATCCAAAATGGCTTTTCTGTCAGGTACTTCTGAGTGCCAACTTACAGGTGAGGACAACTGTGAGAGACGGTGGAGTCCACATAATCACCCACAGTGTTGCCCCATTCGGCAGCCTGTGCTACTCTTGCTTTGTTTTTGTTGTTAATATGAATTGAGTGAAGGTTTACAGAGCAGATCATCAGCCCCAAATTCAGCAAATCATACACTTCGTACTATTACAATGATTGCAATCCCTTCCATGTTCCATGAGTTCACAGTATTGACCCCTAGTCACTTTGACTCTGCACACCTCCCTGTGTCTTCCAGTACTTTTATCTTTCCTCTTACATTGTTTTTAATCACATCTTGTGACACAAATCCCTATGAAGTTTTATTACCTTAATCCTAATACCAATCCCCATGACTGATGTTTGCCCTATATTCAGTGGGATTTGGAGAAAAATACCCATTCGAGAACAGTGACAGTAGCTGTCCTCGGTAATAGCAGGGTTTTGATAACGACCCTCCCCTATTAGCACCATTTCTCCTTTTACATCCTAAATTCAATCATAAATAAGAAATCATAAATCTTCTCCGCCTTTTCCAGTTCCCACAAAATGTGACTGATCAATTAAGTTTTGGTCAAAAAATATCTAATGAAAATGAAGCTTCAGATCTTAGGACTTCATGATATTCTGATCTGGGTTTAGGGTTGATGAAATAGGACAAACATTTCTAAGAATGGCCACAAGTCAGATGTATTTGCTTTTTTTTTTTTTAATATGTTGGTTTGAGTCAAATGATAATTATGTATGAAAGCCTGGATAAAACTAGGCAGGTTGTGTGGTATTTTAATGTTTTGCTGTTTTTGACACTTTGTCCCATGAAGACCCAAGTCCTGACATCTATATTTGCTACTTAATTGGTGTATATGTACTTTCTCGGACTGAAATTTTTTTTTGTATATGTCCTTTATTTTTTGTCCCCATGTAAATGACATGCACTTTTCAGTCAAGTGGACAATTCTAAACTTTTGTTGTTGTTCAGTGCCAGGGCAGACTTTGAGAACCAATGGAATGGTTGATTTTTTATCTAATAGCAGTTAAAACAAATTTTTTCTTCTAAAGTTCTTACATGTGAAAGGTAACAAATTCAGAAAAAAAATCTGATGGTTCCCAACTGTACATGTGCTGTACTTTTTACCAGGCTCTAGGGACAAAAGTTGGAGTCCTGGTGTGGTGCTGTAGGATAAAGCACTGGACCGCAAAGTGGGTTTGAACTGCAAGATTGGTGATTCACACTCACCAGCTGTTTCTCAGAAGCCCTATACAGGGTCACCATGAGTTGGAACCAACCTGACAGCACTTAACAACAGGGACAAAAGGGACACAAGACAGGTCATTAGCGATCTATTCCCATAAAGACTGCAGCCTAGAAAACACTATGAGACAGTTCTATTCGGTCCTGCCCCTATGAGTTGGGATTAACTGAACCACAAGAACAAAAGAATGGAAGATAGTTCTTTGACCCCATGTAGACTACAGTTTTGCAGTAAACATTGAGAGATATGATATGTGAATATAGTATTAATAGTATAGAAGACTTAATGGTTAAGACACCTCTAAATCTGTCTGCCCCTCCCAGTGAAGAGCAGTCTAGACTGGCGGCTAGAAAGTATGCTCGCGTGGTACAAAAGCTTGGCTTTCCTGCCAGATTCCTTGACTTCAAAATTCAGAACATGGTTGGGAGCTGTGATGTGAGATTTCCCATCAGGCTGGAAGGTTTGGTGCTAACCCACCAGCAGTTCAGTAGGTATGATTATTACTTATCTTTTACTTTGACTTTACCAAGCTAGTAAATTATATTGTGGGTCACTTGTATAATGTATCTTTCAAAGAAAATGTGATTATTTCAAAAACACACATACAGTATGTGTATCATCTTCCTAGAGCTGTCTACCATAATAAATTCTGAGAAAATGGGTGGCTTAAAGAGAAATGTGTTCTCTTAGAGTTCTGCAGGCTAGAAGTCCAAAATCAAGGTGTTGTTTAGACCACTTGCTCTCTGAAGGCCCTAGGACAGGAGTGGGGAAACTTTTTTCTTTCAAAATTTATAACATCATTCATAGGTCATTAAAAATTATCAACTTAAAAATTAGCCTGCTCTATTTGGTCAAAGACATTTACTGATAGCTGAAATTGCGGTTGCCTTGGCAGTGCCAGACCAAAGGATTTCCATGGCACATGGGCCAGATGTTCCCCACCCCTGCTCTAGGAGATAATCTGTTCCATACCTTTCTCATAACTTCTGGTGTTGCCAGCAATCTCTGGCATTCCTTGACTGGTAGACTTATTCAAAACGTTACCTCCTTTGTTGCATGGCCTTCTGTGTGTGTGTCTATGTGACATTCTGTTTTCTTTAAGGACTTCAGTCATACTGGATTAGAGGTTTAACCTGATTATATTTACAAAGACCCTATTTCCAAATAAGGTCACATTCACAGATACTTGGTGTTAGGGCTTCATTAGATCTCTTTAGGGGACACAGTTCAACCCACAACAGTAGATGAAAGGACATGAATCATAACTTACTATATGTGCCTAACATTGTTTGTTTTTAAGCTTTTATTGTGAATTGAGAGAAAGTTTATAGGGCAGATCATCAGTTTTACATTCAATAAATCATACACTTTGTTTCATTACAATGATTATAATACCCTCTATGTACCATCAGTTAACAGTATTTCTCTCTATTCATTAAAAAAAAAAAAAAAGTAAACACTCAGGCATATATAAAAATTTATACCATCACAGGGCACCTTCTGAAAGTCTGCCTCCTGGTTACCAGCACACAGTCCGTCTCTTTCCATGAATCCAGAGTCCTCAGCTGCTCTATCTCACCATATGCCCATCTCTGCCTCCATCTCTGGTGTTGCTGCTTCTCTAGATACCATCTCACATTCTGTTTGTACTCTTCTCCCTTGATGGCCTTAGGATCCTCTGCTTCTGGATGTGCCTAACTTCTTGAATTGGTGGTTCTCAAACTTAAATTGCACAATATTCACCTGAACAACTTGTTACAACATATTTTTCTTAAATTTGAATTTCTAATAAACTAGCCAATACTGCTGCTCAGAGAACAACATTGAAAACCACTGATTTACAGATTTATAAAACAGGCACACATAGATTGGGAATGATAGAAGTGACTTGAAGAAGGGGTGAGATGTAGGTTATGGAAATTGAAAGGTCTGGCAGCTGGTAAGGGGAGAAAGAGTTGGAGAGGAATACAGAACAACACATTTTATGAGACTAAACGGTATCTAGTTTTGCCCTGTTTTGATTGATAGTTTGGGAGGGTTTCATTTTTTTTGTATGTAGCTGCAAATCCCATCAGTTCCTTCTTTTGTATATTCATTTTCCTAAGGGAATTTCTCTAGTCTGTCTGGCTTCTTCAAAGGTAACTTTACATCTCATCAGCAAATGCTCTCCTTATTCCCCAGTTACTCTGGTGTTTCTCACATTAACTCATTCCCTCAGAGATCAGACAGAGGTTGTTTGATAAACACCGCAGTCCCTCCACGTCCTAAGAGAATGCATCCAAGCCAAGACACCTAAACTGAGTTAGAATCACAAGATGTACTTACATTTTCTTGATCAAGTTTAAACTTAGGAGACTTGGTGGTGCAATGGTTAAGTGTTAGGCTGCTAATCAAAATGCTGGTGGTTTGAGCCCACCCAGTGGCTACCCTAGAGAAAGGCGGGGCAACCTACTAATGTAAAAATTACAACCTAAGTGCTCCCTTTAACAATCAGTTATGAGGCCAAAGGATCAGCCATTACCCAAAAGCAAAGATGGGGAAGGCAAGCAGGGAGAAGGGAAACTAGATCAATAGGACAGACATAAAATGGAAGTAGTAAGAATGCTGACATATCGTAAAAATTGCAACCAATTTGTGTAAAAATTGCAAAAGGGGAAACTGATGCGTAGTATGAACTTTCAACTAAAGCACAGTAACAAAGTTTTTAAGAAATTACAGTCCAGAAAACCCTATTGGGTAGTTCTCCTCTGTCCTGTGGAGTCACTGAGAGAGACCACATTGATTTCAAACAGCAGCCATTTAAACTTAAGACCCTTCAGTTCAAAACTTTTCCTTCTCTTGGCCACTCAGTGGATAGGTGTTAAATAGCTTTGTTTTCTTTGACATTTGTTAACTTTCCCTTTAGTCCTGATCTGGAAAGAAGTTAAAAGATCTTAAATTTAAAATTTAAAATTAGTACATTCTGAGATTTAGCTTTTATGTCGTTCTTGGTGCAATGATGCGTTTCCCCGATTGTATTCTCTTTTCCTTTTCTGCATTTGGTTTCCAGTAGCTACTGGATGTGCCTCTTTTTTCTAAAAGCCGAGCACACTTGGAAGCCCTCAATCAAAGCCACTTTGCCTCTTTAGGTATCGTCGTCTTCAATCTAGGAATAATTTGTAAGACCTTCATATTTAAAAGTCCCAACATAAAAACCATCTTCTCTTGTCTTTCTATGAACCAACTTTTTTTTGAATGGAGGAAGGGTCTCTATCTGCACCTGAAGGTCCATGTCTGAGTTATTTAGCAGTGCCTTTTTCGGCTGCTCCTGTGGGTAATTTCTCCCATATTTTCCAACATTTCTTTCTCAATAACAATGTCTTCCATTTGCTAGATTAGAAGGGCAAGATGAGAATTCTTGTTAGTCATTTAAAGGGACCCTCTCACTGTCCTTTTTTCTGCAAAGTTTCATGATCTTTTTCCTTTTGGGGGGAGGGCAGGAAGCTTGTGTTGTGTCCCCATAGCTATTTCTTTCTAGTCTGTTTCCTGCCTCGCCTCCCTCAAATACTCCCAATAGAACTTCACCCTCCGGTTATGGATGACATGAAGGCATTAAAACACCTCTTTCCCAGTGGGTTTGTGTGTTTAAAATGAGGCCACTTTAATTGCCTGAAGGACTGTGGGGAATCATGGCACACATCAGTTATAATTACCAGGTCAAGTTCATTACCAGCATCAGACCATGTAATTATCTCCTTTGTTACTGGACTCTTTCTCCACCAACCTTTCTATGTCATCATTGTCTTCATTTGGTTTTCCTAAGCACTTTGCTCCCTTTCCTTCAATTCTTAATTCAAAGATGTCCTGATAAGTTAAGTGCCTTCGAGTCGATTCTGACCCATAATTACCCTGTATACGGTTTCCAAGGAGCAGCTGGTGAGCTTGAACCACCGACCTTGCAGTTCAAACGACTTTGTAGTCTGATGCACTAGCCCACAGCACCACATCAGGACAGTATTTGTTAAATAAATAAAATTTAGGTGGTTTTTTGTAACAGACAGCAAGGTGATAATATCAAGCAAGGTAGTCATGGTCCTTTGCCCATAGGGAGCCTACTGTCTAAAAGCGAGGACAAGGCAATCGTATTAACATAATATGGTAAATATGATAAAGACTCTTGGTATGGCGCTGTAGGATCAGTCCTGGACTGCTAACCACAGGTCAGCAGTTCAGACCAACCAACAGCTCCTTGGAAACCTTATACAATCATTATGAGCCAGAACCGATTCGACAACGCTTCAAAACAACATGATATGGGTACTTCAGGGCGTCAGGATAGTTAATGTAATGGGGGCAAGTTGGAGGTCAAGGAAGACTTGCAGAAGGAAATAGCATTCAAGCTGAAATGAAGAATGAGCTGAAGTGGAATGGACTAAGGCTTGGTTACTTGTTACACACTGTTAAGTGGGTTCCCATGCACAACAGAATGAAACACTGCCCAATCCTGCACCATCCTCACAAGAGTTACAGTTGAGCCCATGGTTGCTGCCACCGCATCACTTCATGTTATGGGTCTTGCTCTTTTGTACTGACACTCTACCAAGCATGATGTCCTTCTCCAGGGATTAGTCCCTCCTGATACATGTCTGAAGTATGATAAACAAAATCTCACCATCCTGGCTTCTAAGAAGCATTCAGGCTGTACTTCTTCCAACACAGATGAGTTTGTTCTTCTGGCAGCCCATGGCACTTCCAAGAATTCATCTTTATCACCCTAATTCAAATGCATCGATTCTTGTACAGTCTTCCTTAATCATTGTCCAACTTCCACATGTATATGATGTGATTGGAAATACCATGGTCAGGTGCACCTTAGTCCTCAAACACATTTTTGCTTTCTAACACTTTTAAGAAGAGGTCTTGTGCAGCTGATTGTCTAATGCAATACCTATTTGATTTCTTGGTTGCTACTTACATGAGTGTTGATGGTGGATCCAAGCAACATGAAGTCTTTAACAATGTCAATCTTTTCTCCATTTATCTTGATGTTATTTATTGGTCCAGTTGTGAGATTTTTATCTACATGGAGGTGCAATCCATATTTAGGGTTATAGCTTTGGATCTTCATCAGTAACTATTTTAAACCCTCTTCACTTTCAGCAAGCAAGGTTGTGTCATCTGAATATTATAAATTGTTAATGAGTCTTCCTTCTATCCTGATGACACAATCTTCCTATAATCTCAGATTATTTGCTCAGCATACAGATTGAATAAATGTGGTGAAAGGATACAGCCCCAGCTCACATCTTTTCCTGATTTTTAAACCATTCTGTAATCCCTTGCTTTGTTCTAATCACTGCTTCTTGATCTGTATACAGGTTTCTCATGAGCATAATTAAGTGTTCTGGAATACCCATTCTTCACAATGTTAACCATAGCTTGTCATGATTCACACCATCAAGAGTCTTTTTTAGTCAATAAAATACAAGTAAACATCTTTCAAGTATTCTCTGCTTTCACCTAAGATCCATCTGGTGTCCGAAATGATAGTTCCACATCTTCTGAGTCTGGCTTGAGTTCCTGACAATCTGTTGATATACTGTTGCAGCCATTTTTTAAATTACTTCCAACAAGTTTTTAATTGTATGGGATATTAATGATATTGTTTGGTTTTTCTCATTCCCTTGGGTCACCTTTGGAATGAGCACAAATATGGATCTCTTCCAACTAGTGTGCCATCTCTTCCAATTAGTCTTCCAAATTTCTTGGCATAGTGCTGCATCAGTTTGTTGCAAGATTTCAATTTATATTCCATCAATTCTAGGAGCCTTGCTTTTCACCAATGCCTTCAGTGCAACTTGGACTTGTCCCTTCATTATCATTGGTTCTTGATTCTATGCTACCTCTTGAAATGGTTTAACATTGACCATTTCTTTTTGGCCCAGTGATTCTGTGTATTCCTTCTATCATCTTTTAAAGCTTTCTTTTATTATTTTGCCCATAGAATCCTTCAATAGTTCGAGAAAGACTGCAATTTTTTTCTTCAGTTCTTTTAGCTTGAAAAATGCAGAGTATGTCCTTCCCTTTTTTGTTCTCCAACTCCAGGTCTTTGCACATTTCATTATAATACTTGACTGTCTTCTTGAGATCCCTTTTGAAAATTTCTGTTCAGCTCTTATACCTTCTCATTTTTTCCCATTTGCTTTAGTGTCTCTACACTTAAGAGCTTGTTTGAGTCTCTTCTGACATCCATTTTGGTCTTTAATGCTTTCTTGTCTTTTTAATTACCTTTGCTTTCTTCCTGTATTATGTTCTTGATGTCATCCCACAACTCTTCTGGTCTTGGGTCATTATGAGTGCATCAAATTTGTTCTTGAGATGTTCACTAAATTCAGGTGGGGTTAATTTAAGGTCATATTTTGGCTCTCATTGATTTCTTCTAATTCTCTTCAGCATGATCTTACCTATGAACAATTGATAGTCTCTTCTACAGTCTGTCCCTGGACTTCTTTTGGCTGATGATACTGAGCTTTTTCCACAGTATTTTCCCATAAAGTCTGTCTGATTCCTGTATATCTCATTTGGTGAGGTCCATGAGTATAGTTGCCTTTTATGTCATTTTAAAAAGGTATTTGCAATGAATAAGTCATAAAATTCTGTCAGGTGAACTTCAGCATCACTTCTGTAACTGAGACCATATTTTCCAACTACTGATCCTTCCTCTTTGTTTCCAATCATCCCATTCCATTCACCAGGAATTATCAATGCATTTAATTGCATGTTTGATAATTTCAAACTGAGGAAGCTGATAGAATTCTTCAATTGAATCATCATTGGCTTTAGTTATTGGTGCGTAAATTTGAATAATGGCATTAACCAGTCTTTTTGGTTGTTGTTGTTAACTACCGTGGAGTTGGTTCTGACTCATAGTAACCCTGCACAGGGTTTTCAAGGCTGTAAATCTTTACGGGAGCAGACAGCCTCATCGTTCTCCTGCGGAACAGCTGGTAGTTTCAAACTGCTGACCTTGAGGTTAGCAGCCCGATTTGTAACCACCATGCTACCAGATTAGACATATTTATATTATCCTATCACAGACAGCATTCTACCTGAAGATCTTTATTTTTGACAATAATAAAGATCTATATTTTGACAACAAATGCAACACCATTTCTCTTGAATTAGTTGTTCCCAGTATAGTTAACCATACCAGTGTCTGATTTAAAATGACCAAGTCCAGTCAATTTAATTCAATGATATCTAGGATATGTGTTTATGCATTCCATTTTATTTTTGACAACTTCCAATTTTCTTAGATTCATTTTTTTTTTTTTACATTCCATTCCAGCTATTTCTCCTCATTTTGAGTTGTGAGGTCCCAAAAGCTTTACTCCATTCACGTCATTGTGGTCACCTCTACTTTTGAGGAGGCAGCTCTTCCCCAGTCGTATTTTGAGTGCCTTCCAACCTGGGGGTGGGGCACATCTTCCAGCACTAATCTGACAGTTTTCCACTGCTATTTATAAGGTTTTTAGTGACTAAACATTCGAAGGAGTCCATCTCTCCTTCTTCCTAGGATTAGTCTGGAAGCTCAGCTGAAATCTCTCCACCACAGGTGACCCTGCTGGTATATAAAATACCGATGGCATAGCTCCAGCATCACAGCAACACATAAGTCACCACAATACGGCAGACTGACAGTCGAGTGATAGCAGCTGTTTGGAAATGTTTTCCATCTTTATTCAATAGAATCCCTATTTTTCCCCTCCCCCTGCTTCAATACTCTTACAAAGCATAAAATAATGAATAAAATGACATAAATCTCCAATCAGGAGTTCATTATTCTATTACCTTTAAAACCTTAAAACCATGGTTCTGGAATCCAAATTAAAGCTTGCCGTCTATAAATCCAGATCTTGTTTTCTCTCTTTTTTTTTCTCTTTCCTCATTGTGTGCTGAGATTCAGATGGAAAATAAAATAAAATACTTCCTTCAGCGTCCTCAGCTTTCATTTCCTGGTTGGGATCTGGCATTTCCCTGAAGAGTTTTTGCAAGGCTTCTCCTAGTATCACTGTGTTCACAGCGTTGGGAAGTGTTTTGTGGGTAGAAGTCTTGACCGGCTTTCTGACCTGAGGTTTGAGTGATGTTCCAGAAAAGCAGGTCCAACCATGCTCATCTCCATATACCTCAGAAGGGTGGTCCTCACCTCAGTAATGCATTTTTCTGGTGCCGGAAATTTGGGTCTGCCATTAGTATGTTTCTTGTTCATTGTAGAATAGAAGGGAAATTTTCCCTGTTACTTGGATTTACCCTTAAGTGCAAAGATTTCAAGAAAGATTCTGTTTCTTGAATTTCATCTTTTTCTTAAATTTGTTCTCCAGTAACTGTTGTTTTGAGAATAGTTTTAATTTTATCAGGTTTCTATTATTTCCTGACTTTTTTTCTTGTAGGCTCCTCAAGCATTTTTTACAAATCTCTGCCCTAGGCTGGGAGAAGTAATCCTAAAATCTGTCATCCTTTAACCTCATGGCAAAGCCATGTACATATTTACTAATAAATATGAGTGAGTTACTACTTAGAGGATTAAATCCTGAATTGGAAATTTTTGGTATAGTTCACTTTTTATAACTTTTTATTTCAAAATAGACATAGGGCCTTTCCAAATACAAATAGTACTGTTTGTGAGTGAGTGGTCTAGAGTATGTTTTAAGTTCTATCTGCTAAATGTGTTTACTTTTGTTAGTGTTGTTGTTGTTAAGTACTGTTAAATCAGTTCCTACACTTAGCAACCATGTGTAGGGTTTCTGAGGAGTGGCTGGTGAGCTTGAACTTCCAAACTAGTGGTTCAAACTGACTTTGCAGCCCAGTGCATTAACCACAACACCATTCCAGGAGCCTGTGTCTAACTTTTGCATATAAAATGTGCTCATTACTGGGGAACTTTGGAAATTCAGAAAAACTCACATTTCATATGGTCTTATTGACAGATTATTTTTGGAAGATGGAGAATATTTAATGAGATTTTGAAACATGATATGTACTATTAACTTGAGTTTCTATACACATATATAGATATCGTAAGATGGTTTGCACATGAAAAAAATATGAACAAAAATGAATTCTATTCTTGACACCCTTAAGAAATTACCCAAAGACATTCAAGATTCAACTTTGCAGAGAACTTTTGGCAAAATTACTTATTTAACCTGCTTTAGCCTGCAACTTTAATATACTATGTCTTGAATGTGATAGAAAATAGTTGAAGAGTGTTATTTTAAAACTCTTTTCCATTTCTCTCTTAACAGTTATGAACCTGAACTATTTCCTGGCCTTATTTATCGAATGGTAAAGCCGCGGATTGTTTTGCTTATCTTTGTATCTGGAAAAGTTGTGTTAACAGGCAAGTGCTAAGATTACTTTCTGGATTTCATATAAATTCAATAACAGTGCATGTATTTTCCTTTTTTAAATGGTTGTGGTAGCTCTGTCAGATAAACACTGGACTCTGAACCACAAGGTTGGTGGTTTGAGTCCAAGAACTGTTCCTCAAGAGAAAGATAAAACTGTCTACTCCTGAAAAGATTTGCAGTGTAGGAAACCCTACCCAGGGTCTCTGAGTTGGAACCAACTCGATGGCACTTAACAACAACAACTAAAGCAATTTATCATTGTCAAGCAATTCTAGAATATCTGCAAGGAGATTCAGAGTAAAAGAAATACAAAACCATTCCTAGTTTCCAGTACCCAAAGCAATTTAGGGTTGGGTGGGTTTTTTTTTTTGTTTTTTTTTTTTATGAGATTTTGATAAGTGCATTCGTGTTTAAAATCCAGTTGTTGTTGGGTCAGTTCTAACTCACGGCAACCTCATGTGTGTCAGCGTAGAACTATTCTCCACAGAGTTTTCAATGGCGGATACTTCAGAAGTAGATCACTAGGGTTGCCTTCCAAGATGCCTTTGAGTGGGGTGAGTTTGAACTGCCAACCTTTTAGTTAGCAACCAAGCACATTAACTGTTTGTACATCTTGCCTTTTTATGAATCATAACATACAGTCTAACTCATTGCTGCATACATTAGAAGGTTTTCAGTGGGCGTTGTAAAATGGGTGTGGAGATGCATTCTGACCTCCTCTGACATCACAAGGGAGGAGAATCAAACTCATCAGCCCAAGGCACACTCCTTTACCAATTCAGACACCAACCATCCCTCTCACAGTACTGTCAGCTGGGTTCGGTAATTCATTGCAATGGTCACAGAGAACTCAGACATCACAACGATGGGACTTATTACGGAAGTTACTAAGTTCAGGATTCAAAATGCTCAGAATATAACTCTTCTGATCTAGAGGGCCTCCTCTCAGCTGTGCGTACAGGCATGCCTCTCACTCGTCTTTGGCCTCTTAGCCACTGTTGCCTAACACCTTTATCTCTGCTGATGAATGCCCGTAGGGCACTGTACTTCCCATAAGCCTCAGCCTGAAGGTGCTGAGCGTTAGCTCGCTGGGTCAGCCAATCAAGCTTCTCCAATTAAGTGGGAGGCTACCTCCTACCCAGAGGCGCTCAACTTCCTCTCTCTGTGAGCTGGCTGGGAAGTCTGCTGTGTTGTCTCATGATTTTGATACTTCTGCCTCTGCGGCTGCCACTTTCCTGTCACATCTCTGGTTCAAGCTCTTTCCCCTGAATCGTAGAGCTGCAGTGCAGGGATCTCAGGATCCAGAAGAGAGGCCCCACTAAGCTCGTCTTTCTTGATGGCAGTGAGATCCCCTCTTTCTGGCTCCAAGATGGCTCATTTTAAACCCAGCAGGATTGCAAATCTAACCAATCCCCACATTGTGTTGTTAAGTGCCATCAAGTCGGATCTGATCCATAGCAACCCTGTATATGGTCTTTGAGGAGCAGCAGGTGAACTTGAACCACAGACCTTGTGGTTCAAACCGATTTTGCAAGTCCAGCGCATTAACCCACAGCACCAGACCAGGAGTCCAATCCCCACATTAGAGTTTCAGAATTTTACAATCACATGGGTCCTGTTACCAATGAAAGCCAATCATACAATCCTATCAGTCTCTTCCCCCAAATTCTCTTTACTCAGGCCCATCAGGAAAAAAGGAAATACACCAGTCCTTTGGTGGAGTTACCTTCCTTTGGCCGGAAGAACCCTATCACTGCACTACTACAGCATGATGTTAGGGGATTGGGGGATTTCATTTGTAAATGACCAGATCCTAAATATTTTGGGGCTAGTAGGCCATGAGGCTTTTGCTTGTTGTTATTAAGTGCTATCGAGTTGGTTCCGACTCATACCAACCCTGTATAGGGTTTGCAACGAACGACTGATGGATGAGCTTGAACTACCGACCTTGTGGTTCAAACCAACCTTGCAGTCCAGTGCATTAACCCACAGCACCACTACAACTACTGAATTCAGTCATTGTAGTGAGAAAGTCACTATAGATGTTGTATAAAGGGTTGGGTGTGTTGTGTCCAACACAACTTTATTTGTGAACACCGAAATGCAAATTTCATGTTATTTTTCATATCTCCCATTGTGTTCATTTTAGTCTTCTCCTGGCATGGAACTGTAGGATCAGCCCTGGACTACAAAACACAGGGTCAGCAATTCAATTCCACCAGCTGCTTCTAAGAAACCCAATACAGGGTTGCTATGAGTCAGAACTGACTCAATGGCACTTTACAACCACCACCATTGAAATACAGGGGGGACATGGTGGCTCCATATGATAAACACTAGACTGTTAACCACAAGTTCCGTGGAGCCCACCAGCTGCTCCACAGGAGAAAGATGAGGCTTTCTGCTCCTGCAAAGATTTAAAAAGCCTTGGAAACCCTATACAGGTTGCTATGAGCCAGAACTGACTCAACAGCACATAACAAATTTGAATGAAAGCATGAGTCTTAGATCACAAGCCATACAAAAGCAGATAATGTACTGGATTTAGCTGGAGGACCTTAGTTTCCTCACCCCTGTGGTAATGTGTTATTGAATAATACTTACTCTCTCACTGTCAAGCATGTCAATGTTTTTTCCCTACTACTTATAAGTGGCACAAGCATTTGGCTATTCATAAATGTGAATTATTTTATTACTAAGGAGCTCTGGTAGCATAGTGGTTACGAATTGGGCTGCGAACCTCAGGGTCAGCAGTTCGAAACTACCAGCTGTTCTGTGGGAGAAAGATGAGGCTTTCTGCTCCTGTAAAAGATTTACAGCCGGTACAGGGTGGCTATGAGTCGGAACCGACTCCACGGCATATATCAACAACAACAACAACAACAACATGGATTCTTAGAAATGGAGTTTTAGTTTAAGGATGTTGTTGTTGTTAAGTGCCATCAAGTTGGTTCCTATTCATAGAGATCCTGTGTAGGGTTTCCAGGGAACAGTTGAATTTCAACCTGCAACCTAACCATTGAAACTAACAGACCTTGCTATCCAGTGTGTTATCCTACAGTGCTACACCAGGATATGACGTTTAAAACAAAGGCTCTGTCTTAGTTATGTAACAGAAGTACCACAAGTGAATGCCCATAACAGTTCATCCTTTCTCAGTTTAGGAAGCTAGGAGTCGGAATTCAGAGCACTTGCTATGGAGGAAGGCTCTTGTTTGTTTTCAGCATCTATAGGTCCAGCATTCCTTGGAGAGCTCCATGTGTCATGGTATCAATCTAGGAGCTAAACTGAAGCTTCACAGCACAGGGACCCAGGTTCAAAGACACACTCCACTTGTGACTCTTCTTTCTTGGTGAGTTTAGAGCCACTTAATACTCTATCCTTGCATCTTTGTGAGATAAAAATATGTTGCAGGCCACCCTTAGGAAACTCCCTTAGATTGGATCAGGGTTATAATGAGTTTAAGGGTATTGCAGCCCATCCTTAATTCTTTTTGGTTTATCACATCATAGGGAATTATCACATAACAACCACATTGCATCATTACAGAACTGCCAAACCAGCCAGTTGACACATATTTTGGGGCACAAAATTAAATCTCTGACACCATCCAAATAAATAGATTTCTGTGTTTCCTGAAAATTATTCTCAGACAAATTGATTCAGTCTCTCAAGATGTATGTAATATCTGTTTTTAAGTCATCTTTTATAACTCTTCGTAAAGTTTTATAAGTCATGTGGGGAAAATCTATTTGGCATTCAAGAGCATTTTGAATACAATAAAGCTAGGATTTCTCAGATAACAATTTAGAGTCAGGAATAATAAAGACCCCTTAGTGACTGACATAATGTTTATCTTTGTACTTTCTAGTCCTTGGTGTGGTGCAAACAGTTAGCTTAGCTGATAAATAAGTCACTTGGTTGGTGGTTCAAGTCCACCCAGAAGAAAGGCCTGGCACTCTACGTTCAAAAAACCAACAGTGAAAAACCCTATGGGGTGAGGAGAATTGGGGGCATCTCCTACCTTGAGATTTTTCCCTGGAGTCACAGGCTGCCTGGGACCCAGAACCCACTGGAAGACAATTCTACATTCTAAACAACCAAAGAGGCAGGTATGGGGAGAAACCAGGAACCCATCCTAGGTCAACTTGTTTGCCAAGCTAATCTGTCTGGGCTCCAGGCCTACTGAGGTATGAGTCCCTGGGGACCAAGCAGGCTTGGATGTCTCCCTTCCTGGGCTCCTTTGTCCTATAAGAGGTGAGCATTTAGCGTCTTGTGCTTTGTCTACACTGGAAAGGAAAAGAAAGGACCTCTGTGTATTCAGAGAATTGTCAATAATAAGGCCTTTCTTCCAAGGCATCTCTGTCCTATAGGGTCGCTGTGATGGGAATCAACTAGATAGCAACAGTTTTGGTGCTTTACGTTTAATGCTTTTCCCCCAAGTCCATGTTTCCTTCCAGAGGAAGACATGCTTTTGTCTCAAACCACAGTACTATTAAACAGCAATAGTGCTACTTGATTATTGTACAGTCAGTAGTAAATAACTACCACTCGTCTGTCAGTTTATTGTACTGTGGTGACTTGTGAGTTGTTGTGACTCTGGAAGCCATGTCAAGGGGAACAGTCATTCACTGTGGACAGGTTACAGGTGAGCTACCAGACAAAGACAAACTAGGAAGGAGTGATGAACTACTTCCGAATATTTAGTCACTGAAAATCTTATGAAATAGCAGAGAAACAGTGTCAGCTATAGTGCCGGAAAATGAGCCAGCCCCCTCAGGTTGGAAGGCACTCAAAATGCGACTGGGGAAGAGCTGCCTCCTCAGAGTAGAGTTGACCGCGATGAGGCGAATGGAGTAAAGCACATGAGAGCAAAAGCCTGCGGGACCTTAATTTACTGATGAGGCACAACTCAAAATGAAGAGAAAAAGCTGTAAATATCCATTAATGATCGGAAGGTGGAATGTACTAAGTATGAATCTAGAAAAGT